TCGCTGGCGTTTCTCTGCTTTCGGATTGACAGCTCTCGAGTGACTCTCGCAAGTGTTTTCGGGCGACACAATGCACCTTCCCCACCTGCAGCACCACCACACTCTGTATGGCATACTCCATACCACACTCCATACCACACTCCATTCCATACTCCATTCCACACTCCATTCCACACTCCATGCTCCACGGCTCCTTTGCGGCCTCGGATTGGATTGGAGGAGGCGACGAACTATTTCTCCCGTTAACATGTTCACTTCTCGAGTGTTTCCTTTGTGAATCGCTGACTTGACTGACTGGCTGACTGACTGTCTGCCAGTATGAGGCCTGGGCGCTCGCCCGGCCGGCAAAACTACTGACACCGCCATGACGGCTGCCTTTCAAAAGGAAAAGCAGAAAAAAAGCCCAAGCCCAAACCCAAGTCGCAACCCAAACCCAAAGCCAATGCCAGGTCCCCAATTGCAGTCCCACTTCCAGTCCCTCTTCCAGTCCCACTTCCAGTCCCACTTCCAGTCTCACTTCCAGTCCCTGTCCTTGTCGTTTTCCCTGTGAGCCGCAGGCCAGTGTTGACAAAAGACAAAAGAGTTAGAAGCCAGAAACAAGCTAAAAAATGCCATCATTAAGTTATACACAAAAGTGGTAAGATTTTTAACTGGAAGGAAGTTAACATAGCTCCGGCATGTTGCAGTACAAGCACTCTTGCAGTTTCATCAAAAACTTATTAAATTATACTCGTGGAGTTATTACTGGTTATCTCAAAGTTATTATTATATTATTTTTGTTTTGCTTTTTAAGGTTTGTTTTTGTCGAGATACTTAAATTGTACCTTGGCTTCTAAGATTACTCACATAGCTAAAACCCCGTTGCTTCACCGACTAAGATCGTGCTAAATATTCTTGAAATTTGAATAATCTCCTTGAACTGTAACTTTTTTAGTTTTCGATAGTATTGAAGGGTATATTTGCATGTTTTGCTACTATTTAGATGGATATTGATACAACCCAGTTGGAATACTTTTCCGTAAAAATGATAATATAAAAATATAATAATTTATATATAATACTTTTAGCTTTCCATCGTTGAAAACAAACTAGTGTTATAAGTGCGAAAAATAAAAAAATTAAAAAATTGGGCATTCTTTGCGTAAGATCAAATTGTATACCCACTATAGGTTTAAAAAACAAAAAGGTTACAACAGTTACGAAACGTAAGTCAAAAATATACAAGTATCAGATGGGCTTAGCTGATTTCCAAATTTACGAACACACAAAAAAAAATTCATTGGCTTATTTGACCAATAATATTGTCAGTTTCCCAGCTTATGGATAAAAGTTTAATAAGGTAATAGGTGTCGTCGAGGTTACCATCAAAAATGGTTATTTGGCTACAAAAAAAAAGATTTTAAAAATCGCCAGCCCATGGATACTATCTTAACAATGTTTATAGTAAATTGCTTTGAAAACAAAAATATTAATAGAATCAAAAAATACATGGAATATGTTAAATTACATACTATTTTCATAGTTGCAAAACAAAATACACACCTTACTTAATGATAGCACTTTTTACTGTACCTTACAAAAGTAAACCCCACAAGAACAAAAGTTACATAACTGTATGAGTTGGTAAATTCTACCGATCAAATCGATCCTGACTTTGGTAGGAAGACCACAAATACTTCAATACTGATTAGAGGCCATAATGCAGGGATGACCTGTACGGAGTTGTCAAAGTCAAGTCTTCAACGGATCAACTGCTAATGGGCTGCGGATCGGATCACTTGCAACAGCACCGGCAGCACACATAACATATAAAGACGGTGACAGGGACGGTTCACCAAAGGGTTAATGCCGAATTTCAAGAGGCCTTAATGAAAAGTTCAGCTGATTTGACGTCCCACTCGAGAAATCGCATTCAAGTCAAAGTCACCAGTGCCCTGTCCGTCCGTGTCGGACTGACTATACTATACTATACTGACTATACCCCACCATTTGTATGTACTATATGCGCCAAAAGCGGAGGAGAAACGACAGAAAGTCAACCTGGTCGAACGCGAAGTCGAATCCGTGGCACGACAACACGACATCGTTTTGTACGTCACTCAAAACGTTCGTGGGCTGTCAGGGAGACAGTTCAGAAATGAAATATGTATATACTCGTAAACATTATAACAAATTCTAAAAGGAGAGACACAGGCGAGCACTCGGCACTCGGCGAGGAAAGTCTGCCACTCAGACAGCCGGTCGAAGTCATTGATTGAGCATTGACGTTCGCGGAGGGACAACAACCATATCGGAAAACCCAAGCCGCTCGTCGGTGTCACAGAGTTTCCAGTGTGATTTCCGAGTGGTTCATAGGCCATTTTATTGCAGTGTCGGGCTGCTTATAGACATTTTCATGACCTACAATCGACACCGGCTTGGAGTTCTGAAGAGATATCCGGCATACCCAAAAGAATTCTCTAAGATCTCATCAGCGTTTTTGGGCGGAGGATAGAAAGGGGGACTATAAAAAAGAATAGGTTTAATTTATTATTTCCAGCTTATGTCAGCTTAGACCTTTAAACACCATTTGCCCCACAAATACAAAAGACTCGGATCAGAACTCCGATCGTATAGGAACTATTATGCTGATATAACAGCTGGGAACTACTCCGTTGTTGGATGTGGAGCACGGGTGGTATTTCTCTCCGTGTACGCATATGTGGAGTATATCTGAATGCCTACACCCATACCCAAACCAATACCCATACCCATACCCATACTCATACCCATCCCCAGTGGAATTCGAAAAGGGGGTCCGGCTCACTCTCAAGAGCCGGCGATGGTGACGTTGCCGTTCCCTGTGCTGAAATGCTGAAATGATGACACGATGACACGGACAGCGAAACGAACACGGACATGGAGGCCGAGACAGACATGGACAGGGGTCTCCATCTCCATCTCCGTCTCCGAATCCTCGTCCATGTCCATTTCCAGACGGAGACGGACTCGAAATCCAAGTGTCATTGTCATCGTCGAGCATTTTGATTTTATTATTGATTCAATTACATTGTCAACGGGGCGGCAGCAGTCGTGCTGGGCGGAAGGATCAGGACTGGAGGAAGGCTACGGCCAAGGATAAAACCACCGAGAAGGGAAACAAAAGCACCGGACGCATCAAATATTCAGTCGAAATGGCAGTTCATTAATCAATCAATACTTCAGCCGCACAACTAGTTTTTTCCGATTTCTGTTTTAAACTTAAAGTCAGTTATTATATTTTCGGGTACTTTTAACTTCTGGATAGTACCTAATTATGTAAGAGAGTCGTCTGCTTCCATGAACAATAATTTAAATATTTTAGTTTTGCCCGTATAAACTATATGCGCATTCAGATGATGCAACACAGAGGGCGATGCTATATATTCGATGCCGCTGATTTGCCTGGTTGACATGAGCTGCTGTCACAAATATAATACGTGTTCGGAGCTGATAATTCCGCTAATGAGTTGCACCAATGTTTGCGTAGTTAAAACTGTTAACTGTCCAAGACTTAAGCCCACACGATGGGTAAATAAGAAGGTCTGAGGGTGGAATGCCGACGCAGGGAATACTCTACATGCTCTATATATATATATATATATATTTACACTTTGGACCAAATCGCAGAGAGTTAGCTTACAATAAAAGTGTTATCTATATACAGGAAAATCTACATGGAGTAATCAATTTTCATAGATATAAGCTCTCGTAGCATTTTTGTAGGGTACTCAAGTATTTCACACACCCATCGCCATTGGTTTCCCTTGGCAAACGCACAATGGCCATAACTGACGATAACACCTAAATGGTACTGCTAATAAGCCGTTTAAATTTGTCTTCTTCTCTTTCCTTTGTGAGTGTTGTTGTTGCCGGTGCTAATGACAATAAAATGATTAGCTTGTTTAATTGGTTTTCTTTTTACGCTTTTGTGTCAAACGCAGTCTTGCCGTGTGTACAACACTCTACCACTTTGTCCCCTTTCCATAAAGTTCTTTAGAAATCCCTCCTCTATTCCAAAATAGGTTTACGAGTATATGTACAAATTTCGCGATTTGTTTTCAAATAAACCGGGTTTTAAAAACTTCAAGTACTGCTGTACGTTGTTAATTGGTTAGTTTGCATTATTATTTTTGAGGTGTGTCCCATTATTGTTATGTAACTCTTTCTTGATGATATTTTAATAAAATAATTTAAGAATAATAACGAAGGTCAAGTGCAGTAAAGAAAATAAATGAAGTAAAAAGGTTATCATTACACATTGGCCCCAGATTATAACTTCTCAAAAATTATACTTAACAATAAAATGGTATGAGGATGACAGTTTATACCTTTTTTTTGCGAACTTCTGTTTTTTTTTAACTATATGCTCTCATAACTGATCTACATGATTTGATCTGCGGTTTTTATCCAAGTGGAAACTTTTCCCTTGCTGTGGGTAAGCATAAGTTGCTATACATTAAGGGAACAAAACTCCGATGCTTTAGAGTATTAAAAGTCATTTGCATATTTTGCAATACGAACTCAATTATTTGTTTTAAATAAAAAACCCTTTGGTCTGTATTATTCAGAAAAGGAGGTTCATTAGTCGGCTTGATTCGATGCGACGACTTTTGTGTGCTGAGACACTTCGCACATTTTTCGTACCTTTTTAGAAAAGACTCGGATTAAATTTTATGGTCGTTTATTATATTTTGTCATTTGATTTAAATTAACACGATTTCTCGAGGGGGGAGGCGTGTCCGGGGGAGGGGTTGGAAAACACAAATAGCGTTGACTGGCGGCAATCCCGAATCGATCTTCGGGAGCTAAGAGACTTGCTTTTTGGCATTGATGTGTGAAATGTGTCGAATTGTTGATGTGTGCCCAAGAATTTGACATTTTGACGGATGTGTTGGCACAAATCATCAAAACTTGTTGTGAGATCGTGATCGGCCTAGACTATAGCTCACCACTCGCTTTTCTTCGCCTTCCTCTTTTAGATCTGCCGTGGAACTGCTCTGCACCCGCCAAGGCGAGACTTATATACAATATCCAACATATAATACAACATATATACAATATAACGCACTTCAGGAAGTCGGTCTGCGTCCACGCTCACGGCCCCAAAGACGTAAGTAGACATGGCTTTCCTTGACTTCCTCATACCGGTCACTCGTCTCGGCAGACTAATTTGTATATCTCTATCGCCCGCCGAGATGACTCCAGATTTGCTTTAGATACGGCCAGCACAATAGAGTCACAAAGCTATTAAAAACTGATATAAATCTCATTAAATGCGATGCTTGTAGCAGATGAACAAAGCCGCCGCTCGCCCAGCCTCAGTTCGGTTTTATCATCGGCTTTGGCTTTGGCTTTGGCTTCAGGTTCAGCTTCAGTTTCAGCCATAGTTTCTCAGCCGCGGCTGTGGCCACCATTCGGAGCCCAGTCTCCTGGCCTTTCCTTCAATCAATCGCTGCTCTTGCTCCCGGCAACAAACAAGAATGGCTTTTGTGGCTCAGTTGCGATCAGTTCGGCGCACTTTCGGCGGACCTCTTCGGCCAAAAATGCCACGGCCAAGCCTCTGCGAGCGATGGCCTGAATGGCCTGAATGGCTCGTCCGCATTTGAAGTCGCAGTTTGGACATCATCTTGGTGACGCCCCGAAACCGATAAGTAAATAAACAAAAGCGGCCAGATCGCGAGTGTCCCTTCGACGATCGCCGGGCGATAAGGGAGCCAAGTGCTGAGAATTTGCTCAATTGATGGACAAAACATTTGGCAAATATTGTTGCACCACTGTAGACTTACCAACCGTGTCGAGTGTCCATGAATTTATCTAAAAAAGTACCCTAGTATCGATGACAAATTTGAATTTATCTAAAAAAGTACCCTGGTATCGATGACAAATTTCGATTTATTTTGTTACATACTTTTCGTTTTTTTTTCACAAATATGGATGATTTATTCTATTGTTTTATTAAGCAACACTTCAAGACTATTCCGTTTTTATATTCGATTCTTGCAAAAAATAAATCGTTAATATATTTAATTTGTAGATATTTTAAAAATCAAATATTCTTAAAATGTAGCTAGGACATAATTAGGCGATAGATAGGTGTGCACCACTTTTAAAATCACACATAACATACTTTCATAAAGAGTTTTTGGGAAAAACGCACTTAAAGATTCTGCTACTGCTACCCGACTATTTTACTTGAGTTTACCTGATATTTTCACAACATATTCTTGATGTACTATTTATTTCGTATAGAAAGCAAACAATAGAAAACAATATAAAATCAACCAAAATAAATACATTAAATAAGTTTTTCATCTGTCAACAAGACTAATACATTCAGCCTTTTTTTGAGATCCCAAACTCGCACTAAAGATCGGTGGTTCTTCCGCCCAAACGCTCCCATTAAGAGGGTAATATTCGTTGAGGTATGCGCAGATGCTGCACAGAAAGCCCATAGATCCAGTAGCCCCAACATCACACTTCCCAGCGGATGATGTTGATGCGGCTTCGTGTCTGCGCTTGAGGGCTAACCGACCTATCCACTTAAAACACAGCCTAAGCCCCGGATTACGACCATTCTGGCAGACTTTTGCCAGGTCGAGGTTCCGGGGAGCCGGGCAGTCGGGCAGTCGGGTAGCCGGGGAGCACTTGGAGCTCTTGGAGCACTTGGAGCATTTGGAGCGGACCCCTGCCAGGCAGCCCGACCCAAACATCACGTCTGATCGGCTGCGACAGTCGGCAAAGGTCCCAAGTAGCGCCAGAGCGTACACAGAAACAAACTGCCAGCTAATATCCACTAATTTTACGGTTAAAGAGCTTACTGTAAGTAAGTGTAAGCAACAGTAATTCTACTGCGAATTATAGTAAGTGTACATTGTACCACTAAAACTGTCGGTGTTAAATACAATTGATGTTACCATTTCTAAACTTCAATTCATAGAATACGGTTTTAAGGTCTGGAAGCCTGACGTTAAGTGAAAGTTACAAGTGGTTTATTTGACCTTCAATATAGTAAAAAAATTCAAAAAGCAACTACACGTTTCAAATGCCTAATACATTCACTATAATATTTTATAAATAGATTTAATCCTTGAGTAAAATGGTTTATGCACTTCTTTACCTTTAACAAAAAAACATATTTTAGCAGCAACAGCGAACAGCTATTAAATTATAGTCGGCCCCTTTTGACTATTGATTTTCTCATGATTTTTATATATTTGCCTACCTATTCAACATATCAATTGTTTGTGTAAACTTTGTTTTGATTTTGAATCTTTAATCTTATCTTGACGCTTATTTAAAGCAATTTTATGTTAGTTGATACTCGGGTATTTTATACTACCTCGTTACAGTATATTAAATAAACAAAAGTGCTTCCTCTAATAAGAGGGCAAAAGAAAATAGGTCAATTGTTTTATAATTTCATAACGAAATTTAGGTAAAGGTTAAAAAAACCCCAATTGAAAGATTTTTTTATTTTAGCAATTGTATAATTGTTATATTTTCGGTGGAATGAGTTTGAACTAACTAAATCTAACCAAATCGTCCTGTATGTAAAAATGCAATAATTAAATTATATGTCTTAGTCGATGGAATCCAGTATAGAGTTATTTCTCGCTTTTTAATGAAACCTGGTCATTCATATGAAGGCATTTGAATGCTAGCTCCGGAACACGTCAATCTTTGTTTTAATGTGGCAACCTCTTTGCAGTTTAGTATTTCTGAATGTCATGTTAAGTTTTTAGTAAATTGGCGTTTTAAAACAATTCTTTTCTGTTTATATGTTTATCCGATTAAAAACTAGGGCAAAGTTCTAGCTAAAAATTACTGGTTGGCAAAAGGGACATCGTAAATAGATTTAGGCTTTTAGTCGATCTCGATTACCAATTTGTGTGAAAGCATTTATTGGTCGATCGTAAGATTACCATCACATTGTTCCCGAACAAGTTAAGCTTATCTTAACTTTATTTTGACAATTTATTTGAACAACTGAAACACTAACATAAAAACACATATCTTATGTTTTTGTACTCTTGCGGAGATTAATATAATTTTAGTAGGAAGCTTATAACGCTGTGAAGAAGAAATTTCCTACCAATTGAACAAGTATATATATTTTCTTGATCTGGATCATCAGCCAAGTCGAGTAGCCAAATAAGTCTGTACGTTTCTTCGCAAGTGTCTCAGTTTCAAAGCTATTTAAATAAAACCTTAACAAAATCGTCTTTGTATTACGGGTATTATACAAAAAGTGAGATTACTGATTAACTTATTTTCATTAAACGGCTTTTCGTTGGTTAACTCGCATATCATTTGAGTAAGTGACTAAAACTTAAATAGTCTTTCAAATCATGTTTTTTCATGTTCTTAAATCATTTTCAATTTCCTGATTGTGAGCAAAGTATACTATTATAATATTACTTTTAAATATGAGCTGACCTATCTTCATAAGTTTCAAAAACCTAATTTAAAATTTTGAAAATGTTTTCTCTGCATTTGTCGCCCAGTGCCATTGGCAGAGCCTGTTCCTGTGCCTGATTTGGGTCCGAGTTGCAGTTGAAGTTGGAGTCCGAGTCCATGTCCATGTTCGTGTCCTGCCATTGAACACCGCTCGATGTTGGCGCTCTCTCTGCGGCTTTTGGTTTTCTTATTTGCCGGCGGGGCGACCAGCGGCTTTCGTCAACGATCCCACAGGGGATTTGCATATTAAACAACAAAACGAGAACAGAGCGCAGTTTCTGTTGGAATCACTTTGTTAAACCCTGTTCGGCGGCAGTCGGTCCGATTCAGAGGCGTTCATAATCAGAACTGAAGTGGTGCCACTGCCACGGTGCGGGACTCTTGGAGATGGAGATGGGGTTAGGGATGGAGATGGGATGGGAATGGGAATGGAGACCTGGAAATCGAGGGGCTATGACAGAGGCTGCGCAGCGTTTGCCTCCTCCTGCGGCAACTTGCCAAACATATCTCATGTGCGGCAAGCCGTGTTGACACTTTTAATGTGTTTCATAAATACACTTTTACAAAATAGAGGGCCTCGGACCGGGGTCTTTGTGATCGGTGGGATCTTTGGGGTCTCTGTGAGAAAGCCGGGACGTTTAATGGTTGACATCTGAGGTTTCTGTTGTTCTGTTCGACTTTAACACGCGTTTATGGCCGCTGCTTTATGGCTTCGGAAATGCGTTAAGAAAATGTGCCTTATGACGGCTGCCGCCGATTCTATGCGATAAAGCCAATAATAATCATGATTGGTGTCTGGAATGCCATTTTTCTCCTCCTTTGTTCGATGGGATACGAGCGAACAGCGAACAGCGCACATCTCACATCTCGCAGCTCGCAGCTTAGCGGCAATTTTGTTATGAGACGAAAATGAGTTTCATGTGAAATCCGAAATTAAAAGTAGTCCTCATCTCGGACAGATTCTCGTCTGTCGGCCGGCAAGACTGGCTTCATAAATGCCGATGAAACTTTGGGATACAAATTGGCCAACCGCATCGATTGAGGCTAACGAAGATGTGTATGACCAGTGTTTTTGCAGAGCCGAAGTTTAGTGAAGCATCAGTCAACGAATGATCTGAAAACAAAATAAAATATGATACAGTGCACCTACAGTCAATGGCTCATTTAGTAAAGTCTGATACTCCACATATTGTTAATAATTACCTCAATGAAATGGATTAAAGAATTAAAAACAGAGTCATTTTTAAATTCTTACCTAAAAACCTTGAAAGACATCGAGAATTGAATTAACCCAGTTGAGGTCATATTTGTTGGAAAAGTGGTAAAAGAATACAAATGGGGCACATGAGGGATTCAAGTTCAAGTTGCAGAAGAACTGCTTCCGCAGTCGGGAAATTGAGGCTGAAAAGCGGACTATGGACCCTAATTATAGGCAGACAACAAAGCTCCAATAACACTCGCAGCAAACTGTCACTTTTATGCAATCAGTGCTCACAGCAGATGGGCTCATACTCATACTATAGATTCAGATTGAGATTCAGAATGAGATTCAGACTCAGACTGAGATACACACACTCGCACTTGCGATGCCGAGGGAAACTGGAAACTGGTTTGGTCAGAAGCGAGATTCGGAACGTGTCAAATCACAAATGCACGAACAAAATAAGTAAGAAAAATTAAATATCAGCCGAGAGCAATTAAAAGCTGCCGTTGACGAGACTGTCGCGTCGTGCATCTCCGGGCTAAATGCCGGCAAACGACAATGCCAGTTCCTTATCCAGAGTCGAACAGAACAGAACAGAACGGCACAGAACTGAAGCGTAATCGTAACAAATGTCATTACAACTGCAGCCCGAACAGGTGGCAATTAAAAAACAATTTGTATACCATTTAAATTACTTGCCAAGATGACATATATCATGCAAAGTTCCCCGATGCCAAATGGCACAGGGTCCAAAGGCAGGCGAGGCATTATAATGACAATAAAAGTAATACTAGGAGTAAAAGCTTTCATAACTGGAATTCCATTGCCATAATTGTCATTTACCAAAAGAAAATTGCTTCCCAATACATAGGCTATTTTGTTATTTCGAGAAGACAACTTTTGTTGTTGAATTGAAATTCTTTTTCAAAGAAGAAAATTGGTAGGCCATTAAATAGGTAATTGTGCCACATACAATGCAGCGAATACAGGACACTCAGGTACTTAACGAGTGCCAAGTACAAAGCGGTTTGGCCGAGGCCATCAAAAAGGTAGAAGAACACAGATCTTCGTCAATCAAAGTATTCGTCGCAAGCGGCACCACTCATCAGCATCGGATCATCAAGAGGTCGCGTAATGATGGCGATCGCGATCGCGATCTCGGCCTCGATCTCGATCTCGATCTCGTTGGAAATGGAAGTGGAGTTGAGTATCACGATCGGCTGTGAGTCGGACTGGGACTGGGACTGGGACTCGGATCTAGTCGGGTCGGATTGGATCGCATTGTATTGGATCTTCGCTCTTCTTGACTGGCCATCGAGATCGGCTCTTGTGTGGTGGTGTGTGGTGGTGTGTCGTGGTGTGGTAGTGGCACCGAAGAATGTGACATGGGGACTTCAAGTGGCCGTGGTCGACAGCGCGAAGAGCGTCTTCTGCACACCGGCACATTGTCATGTCACGCCGGGCTCTCCAGCTTTCCAGCTTTTCAGATCCTCAGCTCCCCGCCATCCAGTCATCCAACCATCCAACCAGTCTACAAGTGTCCCTCTGCTCGCCGACTCCGACCCTCCAGACATTGAAGTGACCACTCAGAATTTGTCACATCATTATTCTTATTTTTATTTTCAATAATCATCTGTACTCGTGTATGCACGGCGTTCCCTGATGTGTTTCTGGGAGGTCTGGGTGGCCACTTCGTTAGGCGGTTTCGGTGGAAACTCCTTGACAATGTCCGAGATGGAAGATAGTTGTGCGAGGCGATGTTGAGGTGCGGATGCCACACACCCCGTCACCACAAAGTCGGCCAAAATTAATTCCAATTATGGCGGCATAAATATGTAGCAGTTTGCACGTCGCCTTCAATTCGAAAGATGAAATGGAGGCAGAGTGTCGAATGCGATACTAATTAAATACTAATTAAATAGATAATGGATAGTGATATCGAACAAAGTCAAAGTCTATTGAAAATCGTTGGGCTTTATTTGATTTTGTCTTCCTAGCATTTAATTATTAATATACTTACTACTAAAGTGTTACTATTATTGTAAATAGGGACATTCCGTGGAATAAAAAGTCTAAACATAATCTTGCGAAACAAGAAGTCATAGAGTTTTTAGCGAAAATTCATCTGAGGTGGCTTTGATTTTAAGGTATAATCAATTTAATTTCTATAAAATGTAAATCATTTTTAATAGAGAACAAAACAAAAACTGAAAGAGCGCTTTTTCCATTACCATTTAGTGTTTCCATCGCCAGAAGTGAATTAAGAGTAAGATATGTATTGTATTCTATAGCTCTCATTGGTTATATTTGGATAAATAAGTACATACATTTATTGAAGAATTAATTTTAGATTTATATCATATATGTATATTTTGAATACATTGTTTGTGATCTGCAGAAAGTAAATCACCGATTTCCATTGAAGTATTCTACCGACATTTATAGCCACATTCTCACAGTTGTTTTCCCACTTTCTCCGTTCTTGCAGTCTAAACACAACACGGATCGAGTGAATCACCTTGCCGCAACTAGTCCCATGCATCGCAGAAGTCCACAGGTCAAAGGTTAACTGTCGTTCCTAAGCCGCTTGATGAATATTGGCCACGAAAAGCATCCGCACTTTCGTCCGCATCCTCAGCTGCAATCCAGCAGTCGCGCCGCAGAAGCACACCGCCTGGCCGCCCGCGGCTCGGTCAGTCCGTCGAGGTCGTACCTGCCCACACCTGCCGCCCACCGCCACCCCCTGCCAGGCCATGAGCGGCGCCACCACCCGCACCCGCACCCGCAACACCACCCACTCCCCCGCATCTGCCTCCCGCCGACGAGCGGTCTGGAGCGGACCACGACCACCTGAGTCCCGAGTCCGGTCCGATGGTGATGACCCCCAGCCGCCGCAGCTCGCCGCCCCTGCCGCCGCTCTCCCTGTCTCACTCGCACTCGCACTCGCACTCGCACGCCCACGGGCACGGGCACCACCACCCGCTGCCCCTGGCGCTCCCGCTGCGCCACCCCCTCGCCCTGAATGCGGGCGCCGGCGGCCAGCAGCAGCAGCAGCACTCGCCGTCCCGCTCCAGCCAGACGCCGCAGCCGCCGTCGCAGTCGCAGTCGCAGCCGCAGTCGCCGGCGCAGTCGATGAGCGCCCACTTCTCGCAGCTGGCGCACGCGCAGCTGCACCTGCAGAGCCAGCTGCAGCAGAAGCTGTCGGCCAGCCGGAACAGCGGCGGATCCGGGAGCGCCGGATCCGGGAGCGGCGCCTCGCCGGACAGCCTGAACGCCCTCAATCCGCTGAACCCGCTGAGCGACCTACAGAACATGCAGCCCTTTGACTTTCGCAAAATCAGCTCGGCCGCGCTGAGCGCCTTCGCCGGTCCGCTGCCGCTGCCCCAGAGTCCCACGGAGTTCGGGCACCACCACCAGCAGCACCACCAGCAGCACCAGCAGCACCAGCAGCACCAGCACCACCTGCACCGCAGCAACCAGTTCTTCAACGCGATGGCCATGGCCTACCACCTGCCGCCGCCGCCGCCACCGCCGCCGCCCGAGTCGCGGTCACCGCCGCCGCCGGGCGTGGCCCAGTACCCGCACCCCCACCCCCATCCCCATCCGCACCAGGGAGGATCGGGAGCGGGGTCGGGATCGGGGACGGGAGCCGCCGGCGAGGAGTGCGGCGGCAAGCGGGGCAGCGACAAGGGGTCCGCCTCGGGATCCGCCTCCGGATCGGGCTCGTGCTCCAACTCGGGCTCCAACTCCGGGGCCGGGTCGCAGCGGATGACCCGCCTGGCGCTGTCCTCGAACATGCGGGCCAGCCGGAAGACGCACTCGCCGGGCGGGAACGGGGCCGCCGGCGGGGGGAACAAGCGGCAGTGGGGCTCCATGCCCGCCAACCTGGGCACCCAGTTCATCAACCCGGTGACGGGCAAAAAGCGGGTGCAGTGCAACGTCTGCCTGAAGACCTTCTGCGACAAGGGCGCCCTCAAGATCCACTTCTCGGCGGTGCACCTGCGCGAGATGCACAAGTGCACCGTGGACGGCTGCAGCATGATGTTCAGCTCGCGCCGCTCCCGCAACCGGCACAGCGCCAACCCGAATCCCAAGCTCCACTCGCCGCACCTGCGGCGCAAGATCTCGCCCCACGACGGCCGCAGTGCCCAGCCACATCCGCTCCTGCTCCAGACGCCCAACGGGCTCATGGCCGGACTGGCGCCCTTCGGCAGCTTCCCGCTGCTGACGCCGCCGCCGGACCTGCGCCACCACGCGATGGGCGCCGGGTCGGGGTCCGCCGGGGGCGGCGGGGGAGCGGCCGGCGGGGTGGGGGCCCTGGAGCTGAAGCACGGCCAGGACTACCTGCAGCGGTCGTACTTGGACGCCGGCCGCTTCGAGGGACAGCGGCACAAGATGACGCTGGACAACGAGCACACGGAGGACGAGGACGACGACGAGATCCTCGAGGTGCGTAGTTATTCTTATTTCGCCTGTTTTTGCTTTTCTATTCTTTTTTTTTTCATTTTTAACCAAGTACCTATTTTTATACCCTTGAGGAGGATATTAAAATCAAAAGTTTGCAACGCAGTTTCAGCATTAAGCCATGTCCGTTTGTCCGTCCATCTGTCCGTTTCTACGCGAAATAGTACCTCAATTATAAAACAGTTTGTTTAAAACTTTCAAAAGGGTCTTCTTTTTGTTGCGGAACGGGCCAGATCGGCCTACTATATCATATAGCTCCCATAGGATCAATCGGGAAAAAAACTTTGTTGTTCTTATCATATATCCATATACTCAAGAATATAGTATTTTTTAACATTGGGAAAATGGGAAATCAACCCATATACTCCGAGATCTGGTTATTTTTTAACGGTTTCAAAATTACTATTTTAGTATATCATATTTCTGGCATAGGAACGACAAAAAATACAAATTTTAATGTTCCTTGGAATGTACTTTATATTTTCATTTCGCATTACAGTATGTTGAGGATACTTCATTGAAATTTTGTTATTACTACCGTTTTTTTGGCAAGCTTTAAAAAAGTCAAGGGTCACCAACATTTTTTGAATGTTTAATGGAAAATACAATATTACGTGGGTGTCTTATAAATCTTTTTCATCGATGAGAATGTGACGAAGAGATTTCTATGGCACTTTTGTAAAAACACTTTTAAAATATGTTTTTGTTTATCTTTATGACTTTTGTTTTTAAAAGCTTGTCGGATATCATTTTGTAAGGACATTTAATAAAAACATAGAAGGCTTAATGTTAAAAACAACAAATTTACCCATTCGAAAATATATAAATATATAAATGTTCTTCAGTGCATTAGATGCACTCTTATAAGAAATAACCTTTACTCAGTTCCAGTTTTGTATTTAATGTTTTAAAATGTCTCTCCGATTTATTGAGACAACATTATAGCTTAAAATCGCTTATAGTGTCTTGTATCAAAAACTATAAATATCCAATGAAAATGAGCTTCGAATGATGTGCTTCCATGACCTTTGACATTTGCCGCTTCCCATTGTCCATTGCAGGTGGGCATCCACATGGCCGGCGACGGCGACGACGACGACGACGAGGCTGACGAGGAGGACGACGACGATGACCCCGATGGCATCGTGGTGGTTGGCGACGAGCTGGACAGCATCAGCATTCCGCTGGACCACGAGAACGACAATGAGAACGACGAGAGCGACGAGCGCTCCACGTCCGCGGTGTCTAGTTTGAGTCAAACCAAAGAGCAACCCAGTCCGGGCAAGGCCGTTCAGTCCGGCCTCGAGGAGTGCCACACGCACGCCCACTCCTATGCCCACTCCCACGCCCACGCCCACTCCCATGCCCACCCCCATGACCACGCCCATGCCCAGGCCCACGCCCACGCCCATGCCCACGCCCTGGCCCAGATGGCGGCCAATAAGCGAAAGCGCAAGAGCCAGAACCCAGTGCGATGTCCGGTGCAGTCGGACGAGAACTCCGGCGAAAACTCGGTGGACTACGACGTGGCCGCCGATCTGTCCATAAAGAAGGTGCGTCTGCCCGCGCAGGCCGCCGCATCCGCCAAAGAAACGGAGGTGGGCGAGTCCACCAAGTCGATACCCTCGCCACCCCTCACGCCGTACGGTGATCTCAGGCCGGTGGGTCTCTGCATCAAGACGGAGCAGGATCAGGAGCAGGAGCAGGAGAAGGAGGAGGAGCCCGATCCGGACCCGCAGCTCAAACTGGAGCAGGGAGGAGAGGAGGAGGGAGAGGGAGAGGAGCAGGAGACGAGGTCAGCTGGCAAGGCGCCGGATGCAGAGGCGGAGGAGGCTGTGGACACCACTCTGGATCTCTCCCGGGCAGCGGCCGCCATCAAGCTGGAGCCGCTGGAGGAGATTGGCTACGAGGCGGACGAGAATCGCTATGTGCGCATCAAGCAGGAGCTGATGGGCGGCGATGAGGAGTCCTTGGCGGAGGAGTCTAGCGCCAAGACTGCCAACCACAACAACAACAATGTGCGCCGGCAGAGTGGGAACGGATTGGGTGCACTGGAGGAGCTGGAGGAGCGGGAAGCGGATCAGGAGCAGGAACAGGAACAGGAAACGGAAACGGAGCCCGAACCGGAGCCGGAACCAGAACCCGAGCCGGAAACGGAGGTGCCCGAGGTGCCCATCGACAAGGAGAACCCGCTGAAGTGCACCGCCTGCGGCGAGGTGTTCCAGAACCACTTCCACCTGAAGACGCACCACCAGAGCGTGCACCTCAAGCTGCACCACAAGTGCAATATCGACGGCTGCAACGCCGCCTTCCCCTCGAAACGCAGCCGCGACCGGCACAGCTCCAACCTCAACTTGCACCGCAAGCTGCTGTCCACCAGCGACGACCACGGGCTGCTCCACGCACCCGGCCTGCCCACGGATCCGCTGCTGGAGCTGATGAGTCTCAATTTGAACAACAACAAGGGCGGCGGAGGCGGTGCTTTTGGCCACTCCACCGCCGTCGGCTCATCCGCTGGCATGGGCGGCGGCGTGGGCGTGGGTCCGGCGGTGGGCAGCATCCAGGCGGAGATCCTCGCACGCATCTGCGCTGGAGCCCATGCCCACGGGCTGAACGTGCCGCTCTGCTTCGAGGCGCTGCAGCACCGCTTCGCAGTGGGCCACGGCCACGCCTATCCGCTGGTCGACGGCTCCGCCCCCAATCCCCGCCTGCTGCTCAGCCACGGCGGCGCCAGTCCGCTGCTGTTCGCCGGCCTGCCGCGCCTGCCCCGCTTCCCCCAGCTGACGCCCCACATGCTGGCCGCCGGAGCCGGGTCCGCCGGACTGGGTGGCCTGGGCCAGTTCTGCAGACGCACCTCCTCCGACTCGAACTCCCAGCACTCGGTCACGCCGCCGCCGTCGGCGTCGAAGAGGTCCCGCTCGCGGTCCGGCTCCCCGGACTGCATTCATCCGCATCAGCATCCGCATCAGCATCAGCATCCGCACTCGCATCCGCATCCGCATCCCGTGGAGGCGGCCTTGGGCATGGGCATTGGCGTGGGCGTGGGCGTAGGCGTCGGAGTGGGCGGAGGCGTGGAGGAGGCGGGTCAGCGGCAGAGCCCCGATCGCATATCATGACCATGTACCTCGTACTATGCCAAGGCGTTGGCATTTTATCACTAAGAGCCCTCATGTCATGCAGCGCACACACTTTGGAAGTCAGATGCAGATGTACACCACACATAGATATAGATGCATTGCTCATGGTCACGTCGAGGATCGAAGATCGAGGATCGAGGATCGCGAGGGTCTTGGTTCGTCTGCCGCTCATTAATACGAAAATACTTTCACTTAGGCTAATGCTAAAATAAAATATTAGATGGATCAACTAGCATTTTTTTTTTCTATACTTAAATATACATACAATATATATATATATATATATGAGTCCCTTTTTTTTAAATTGTACTTATGAAAACTGATGTTCTGTGTACAAGCGTCGTGTTGTAGAGAATTTATAAATGGCAAAGAAATAACAAGTACTAAATAAATAAATAACGATACATATTGTTAGTGATACTCGATTATGTAAGTTAATAGCCACTAAGCAGCGCCTACTGGTATCGTGAGTAATTTTTTTTTTTATTCTAACTGAAATATTAAGTGTGTTGTATATGATATGCCGATGGCAGTGCCGATGCAAATAGAATGAGTCAACAACGACGAAGCGCTTGATATAAGGAACGAACAAAATTTGATTGCAGATCGCTGATTGCAGATTGCCGTTTACCGAACTGGGTCTCCCAGGATCACTCATTAAAAGTCCTCATGATCCAAATCGAAAGAGTTTTGTTGTTTTTTTTTATTACAAGAAATCCTAAAGTAATTATGTAGTCGGTTAGTTAGTTCTGAAACAGTAACCAGACAAATACCTTCAACTCATATTTAAGCTATATATGTTTGCAATAAAATATCTGAAAATTCTTAAATCTCTTTTTTGTACTTGGGTTGGTTAGGGATGCAATAAATTGTGGAAACTTTCAGTATATATGGACGGGTTGCACTTCGTAATGAGCTCTACACGACACTATTTTAAAAACAAAACACGTCGGTACTAAGAAAAATCACAAAAACCACAAATTAAAAACGAGAAACACTCTGTTCTCACCTCCATTTATTATGGAGGTTCCATTTGTTTGATTATCAGGGATGGGGGTTCCCATTATGGGATGGTCAAAAATTGGAGAAAACGCGAATGCGTAGTGCATGGTCAGCCCTTTATATCACAGAATTTATTTGTCAATAAAAGTCTGATAAGTTCAAATGTCTTGTTTCTCGAGAGTTATAGTACGAATAGCATATGAATGGTTAGGAATTGAAAATTTTGTTTGAACATTTGTCACGTTAATTCGCAAAGTTAATCATCATCAATGAAAATTGATGAGCTACACCCTACTTGATTTCTTCACTGTAAATGACTATGATTTTATCATATGGCGTATAATAAAATAAATGACCATTCCAATATTTATATTAAGTGACCTGACTTTATAGACATTGACTACTCCCAACTTCTCTTTGACCTTAACGCGTTTGTAGTTGGATGATCAATTTGCATTTATGATTATAAATTTTGCTTAAATAAAACAAAAAACATAAGAAAGCCTGGTTCACAAACAAAAATCAGACGACGTGATAGTTTCAAAAACTTGGAAGGCAGTTTAACTGAATACCGACCAATTTTGCCCATTCTGCTGTTTATCTTCATTATAGTAGGACATATACATACTTGACAAATCACTAATCCTATGGAATTCACTATTAAACGATAATTAATCTGGGTGATGGCACATTTTGACAGTTTTAGGTGGCGCCATCTGCGGAACTGCAGTGTCAACACTAGATGTCAAAAGCGAGCAGCACTCCCGCCCCCGCAAACAGTTCGTTCGCTCTGTCCCGCTCTCCCAAATTTGTGAACTTTGTTTTTTAAATACGTGAAGATATAAAACAAACTTAAATTCATAAAAACTAATCAAATTAATAGATCGATTTTGCATGTTTATTCACCGACCATACCGTAAGCTCTATACTTGTCTTTACCACATCTCTTCGGAATTTAGCGATGTATGGGCGTTGCAGGGGGCGTGGCGAACTTCTGAATAATACTTCATATGTGTTATGTCTGCGTTTTCAATCTCAAATCTCTAGGTCTTATTGTTTCCGAGATTCATTAATATATATTCTTTATAGGGTCGAAAATCTGCGTTGAAAACTTTTGATCGACATGATAATACCAAAGACCAATATAATTATATTGGTCTTTGATAATAAGCTATTCAAATGTATAATAAACCAATTGAAGCCCAAGTATTTATTAGACTTGCTAAACGTAGCTGGTTCGCAAATGAATAAAAACATTGTCTCGATTAGAATACGATTATTCGCATCAGACCACCACTTTTATCCTTATGTTATTCGTCTCCGGAATGAATTACACATAATAATTCATAAAAGTGCTCAGCAATTTCGGATAAAACCCTGAGTAACAATTGATTTACCATTACTTGTAAATAAAATATTTATATCCATATACAACGAAAATTTAACATATTAAAAAGTCGTCTCATTTCCTCTTATACTATCTCAGCAATTCTCTTTTAATTTATCAAATTCTCCAAATTTAGGAGTTTTTGAAATATAGATAGTACAAATTATGTGTTATCAACTATTATATTATCAGTTGATTACAAAATAGAGAAGTTATTATTATGTTGGAGCAGAAATAACTTTTTTGGATGTTGATCCCGGCAATCAAAGTGCCTGGCCGTTTTACTAACACAATCAGTTTTAAATAATTTTTTTTTTGTAAACCATTCTCGGCACAAACAAAATATAAGGAATTTAGCTTTAACTATGAAAAGAAATAAAGCTTATTATTTGAGCCGAAATTTATAAACCCTTGCAATTATAGGAAAAATAGTTACAGTGAAAAGACTCCCACCAACTTTTATTTATAAAATAGTATAATACCCTATTTGTTGGTTTATATCAAACCAGATACGATTAAGAACATTAAAAAAATATAGTATATAAACAAATTTTGAACGTTAAAAGGCGGTCGTCATAACTTTTCCACATCTCAGTAAAAGTCATAAAAAGTCGTAAATATAGCACTTTTAAAACTGCTTTTTTTTGTAGTAAATAGAAAAAGATGTGTTAACCAGATACACAAATTTTAACTATTTACGACAAAACCAAATGTACAATATTTTTACATATATATTTTAAAACAAATTATGAGAAGGACGGGGAAAAATAAGTTGACCCGATGAACTTGAGCACTTTGGAAGGATAGTTTTGTGGAAGCAGAATGGCAAATTGTTGATAACAATTAGGATTGCAGATAGCCAAAATGCATGGAGGTGGTGCATGGTCCGTGGTTTCCCGCCGCAAAGGGTTGATTCCAGCAAGCCGTTTAATTTTAGATCGATTAAGGGAAGCTCGTAAATTTTGCTGCCCTGGCTGCGAGGGCGTCAGTGTCCAAATAAATAAATGCAGCTAGTATGCCAGTATCTGCACATGCAGGCCGGTCGTAAGGTGTGCTCGTATCTTGTGGATATATGGGTGCCATCCGTGTGTGGTTGGCCATGTCGCACCCTGCCAACCCCAGTAACTGGTCCTGGTGGCACAGTATGCCCTGCCATACGCCATTGCCACCGGCACAGCCATAGTCACAGCCATAGTCATAGCCATTTCAATGACCTCCCCTTCGAGAAGGCGGCAGGAGCTTGGGTCTAGGAAATAGCAGAGCCGAGCCTCGACTCGACTCGACTCGACTCGCCTCTACTCCATTCTATTCGACTCGCCTTTACTCGGTGTGGTGTGCTGCAATTTATTTAAAGTAACATTTTAGTGCTTCCTTCCGCTGAAATCCGCTCTCTTCCTTCCTGTTGCCAGGACTCGGTCTCTGGCTGCAACTCGGCTTGGGTCCCTGTCTGTGCCACTGCTGTATTCCGACTCCGACTCCAACTCCGACTCCGTGTCCTGACTCCTGGCGCCCGGTAGAGCCCGCTCTACGAGGCAAAACAGCAGATTGTGGCAAATAAAATTGCCACAATGTTATCGTTGAGCCTGAAGCGGACACGCAGAAAACAAGCGGCAAGGGCTGCAACAATAACAGCCAGCAGACACAAGGCACGGCCATGTATTCCTTTAAATGGCTCCTACATTTCCTTGAGTCTTATACAACTATTCTTAAAAGGGGAATATTGCAGAATTATATAACTAAAATGGAGTTTTATCCCAATTTAGCATTTTAAACAATCTATATAACTTGCTCTGCAAAGAAGGTTTCTACTGAAGAACGGCTATATTTCGATCGACAATGGCATGTTTTTGAAACAACAATATAAAATGGCACATGCTTTTCCTATGTATTTTGTATTGAAACACAACAACAAGTTCTATTAAATATTTTATCACTTTAATCTTATTTTATTAAGCTTTGTATCGCAGAAATAATCAAGCGATTAAGTATAGTATAAGTTTAGTTTGTATCGCAGAAATAATAATAAGCGATCAAGTCTAGTAGCAGTTTAGGTAAAAAAAACACAGTGCCAGCAATGACCAGAAAACAATTCGAATAAAAAGGATCCTATTTCCCGATATAAGATAACCAACATTGTATTTGACATCTGGAAATTAGCTGTACCCATATTTATGCAAAAAGGACAATATATGGGGTTTGTTTCTTAAATCGGTATGTATCTTGGTATCCATTTTTAATACAAACAATCAATAAAAAAACTTTAAATAAATTCCCTTTTTAAAGATCTAGTAGATAATAGATGTAATGAAACGCATATCTATACGGTTTGCCTTCCAAAATTGTTGAGGCCCGCATGGGAGTTCATCTGCAGAAGCTTAGTCTTGTGTTTGTTGGTAAGTTTATTGGCAAGGAAATCCTAAAAATCTATACAAATATTTTGGAATAGTCAAAGCAGCGCTGCATAAGGCCGTATTAAATAAGGTGAGTCAAGTGAGTCCCAAACTATCTGTGCTCTGGGTGGAATTGAGTCTGGTCAAAATGGCTCGAACTACGTGTGTCCACCCTCCCAAATTAAAATTCTGCCAAGGTGGTTTGGTTGGCCTTCCTGCCTAGGAGTCAACTGAAAGGAGGCCCGGGGCGGGGAATAAGTATATTTTGATGGATCGCGGGAGTGGGTTCAGCCCGGACACAAGCTCCGCTTCCAGATACCAGATACCGATTCGCTTCGATTCTGTTTTGTCTTGGCCTGTCCCGTCCTGTCCTGGCCTGGCCTCACTGCCTCTTAAGTGCACCTGTCGTGGAGTGAACGTTAACCCGGCTCTAATTCGCATTCAAAGCCAAAGCCAGAGCCAAAGCCCAACGCACACCACAGCCCAGAGTTCTCGTAAACGAGCAGTGTCATCATCGGCATGGGCATCATAGGCATCTCTGGCCGGCTGCCACGACTCCCAATCGTAATTTAATGCTGGCGGTCAATAGCATTACTGCAGCGGCTGCTGCAGCAACTAAAACTGCAGCAACAAATGGCTTATGAAAAAAGCTAATCTGATAATACAGAATTGAAAGGGGCGGTCACGGCACGAATTTCGCTACACGCTCTCGATACGATGGCAGTCTGGAGTCAGAAGTCCGCAGTCCACAGTCCGCAGTCTCCACCGCCCCAACATCCAGCTGAAGTCCGGCGATTGACGTTGGCAGCATCGTCAACCGAACTCCCATATACGAATGGTATGGCATGGGGCATAGTGTAGTGCAGTGTATGTAGTGTAGTGCACTGCACACCGCATGCGGCTTCAACAGAAGGGATCGATGGTCAGACGGCGAAATTGCCTTTGGCCGGGGCTAAAGTTGCAGCTCCACGAATGCAGTGTACCTGTGTGATAGAAGGTTGGCTCAGAAGCAGCAGCAACAGCAGCAACAGCAACAGCAGCAACAGCAACA